GGCTGTTGTCCAACCCAGCCAAGGACACTGAGACCCTGGGCATGACGTGGGCGTGGAGGGAGAACAATGGACTGGCTGTTTCTTTGGGGTTTGTCCAGCATCTGGCACAATGGGGTCTGGGTCTAGGACGGGTGCTCTGAGGTGCTCTGGCAATAGAGACAGTAAATAGGAATAGTAAGAATCAGGTGGGATAACAGGACTGGCGGGGGGTGGAACAAGCATTATATCCTCATATGGGTTCAGATCCAGAGATTTCACTGAGCCCATAATATAAGTTAGGGCCATTTGCAAATTTTAGATGCAGATCTGGGTTTAGATGTGTTTGGATCCACGGTTTTTACACCATCAGATGTATTGCGATCTGGGTTCAGGACCATCTATAGAGGTAACCAGCTTTAGTGCCATTTTAAAAAACCTTAATACTCTTCTATTGCTCATTTTACTTGACAAAGAATTTGTAAGATATGACCATGTAAAATGAAAAGTCCAGCCCTATCTATTATTACAATGGAGGCATTCATGTATCTAGAGATAACAAGAGATTTACAAAATATGGATTTGGCAATTTTAAAAGTTATACAAACATAAAAACTGTGGCTGATTTTATAAATAAATCAAGCTCTGACTAAACAAATGGAAATTTGGCAAATAATTAGTCCATAATCCTGACAGCTTGACTTGCATTTGTATACACATGAAAAGAGCTGACCAAAAAGAGTGCAACTATTGCACCCAGCTCTAGATTTTCCCAAAGCATAAGGGGCTGAATCTGAACTCATTTATGTTGTAAGTCACAAGTAACTCCACTAAAGTCAGTGAGATTACACTTGTGTGAAACCAGTGTGTTGAGCAAATGGAGTTCACACTGCTGGAAGAGTTATTGTTGTAGGTCTTGCTACACCCAGAAGTAGTGCTGTAGTGAGTAGGTTTCGCCTCGGAGCTACTGTAAATAAAACACATATTGTATTTCTCCTGCAAACACATGCGCCTCTCTGTGGGTCTACTCCTTCCTACACCATAATATGACAATACTCTCTCTGTGTTCTCTGAGACCAGAGCTATGGAGGCTGCACTAGAGCATTTGACCTGGAGTAAAGGGAGTTGATCGCT